CAGAAACTGGTGGCTCAATTTCAGTTCAGAGCTAAGCAATCATTTTTTGGGGCAATATTCTAATATGTAACCAAGTATATAATTCCCAATAACTCATATAAAGCTATATACTACTACTAGCTAGAGATTGGCACTTTCAAGATAAAGTGACCAACTTATCAATCAGCAACCAGTAGTAGTAAGTAATCTAGGAAACACAATGACCCATGGGAACCCCTAGGAACACTGACCATCCTTTTGCACTGTTCTTTCCTTAATCAGGAGGTGCAAGTGATCCATACAAAGCCATTGGTGGCATCAAACCCCTAAACCGGTCGGCCTGGCTGGATGCTTTTCAATTCCCTGCATCCAAATGCTCGTGTACGTGCAGGTGATCGATCTAAAGAAGAAGCTTTTGAAATTGACCTCCACTGACTTCCACGGTTGCAGTCTGATGGCAAAAGGGGCTTGTGCTTGTTGTAAAGCGGCTCAAAGCACGGCAGAAAGCAGGAGAGATACGATCACTTATATAGATTTTAAGTAGAACGGGCTCCACCCCTGCTCCAGATAAGGATGGATTTCTGTACATTGGTGTAGCATAATGGTGTCTGTGATTAACAAAAACGCAAGCTTTTTGGGTAGGTTTGTGCGTTCCAGTGGAAAGGATGTGCGTGCATGGCTGCTCCCTGCTGCCAATTAGCATCGAGACAGTGCAAAAGATTATTGCAAATTGCCGACAGGTCATGGTGGGCTCTGGTCCCGGCTGAACTCCCCCGTTGCCGTTTGTGTCACTGCTGATTCAGCTACAAAACTGAGCTGTGCATTTTTAGTTTAGTTTAGTTATTTTTTGCTTTATGTGTGATCTAGCCTTTGCTGATCGTTCGCTCGCTCATGACTCGTCCACATGCAGCGCACGCTCTAGCAGGTCCAGTGTCTAGATCGCTCTGCCGCTGCTAAGCAAACTGCGTGATTATGTCGGGGGGTGAGACGGCGACCGGCAGTTCCTGCAGTCTTGGCCTTTTCAGTGTGAGAGCTCTGACTGGGCGCCATATACAAATCAGGGACTCAGGGCATAGGCCAATCCAGTAGGGGTTTTGCAACTCTGAATAGGTTGCGAATCTAGTATGGCCCCAAACCTCCGATCTTGGCCAACCACTCAACGAAAACATATCTACATATCTTTTCTGTATCAATCATATATACTTAGACATCGCGTTACTGTCGGATGAAGACAGACTACCATCTACTGGCCGGGACATGAAAAGGGTCCAAAACTAAAACTGAGGTTGGTAGTGTTCGACATAACAAATGGCCAAAACTATTGGTTTAACGCTGTCTTGGGTTGAAAATGACTCGTATACGTTGCAGTAGCAAAATTCTAGCACGGCCTTCCTCGTATTTCGGAGTTTGGAGTGCACGAAAAGTCGCAGGAATCAGCAGATAACTTGTGTGCTAGTTCTGTCAGAGCAAGTAAGTTTAATAGTATAGCCAACTACTAGCTCCAAATTTTCTATAGTCAACGTAATAGTTAATTCATACAATAGTTGCTTACTACATTATTAATATATGGTCCCACCTGTCATACACACATTACGTCTTAAAGTCCGTGCTACAGCTGGCTATAGATCTATAGCCCGCTCTTCTTCTCTCTCTTCTTTTATCTCTTTAAAATATGTTTATAGCTGGCTTATAGTCTACTATTGTACCGGCTCTCAAGGGTGTTTGGTGACATCGTACAGCAGAAATACACCGAGTGCACCAGCAGGCTAGGGAACAAATCAGATCAGGCAGCCAAGTTCGGTTGGAAAAGCTCCCAACTAGACTGTGCTCCCCCAATTGTTCGGGCTGGCGATTCTGGATCTTGCGGTGTTTAGGTGTGCGTTGCCTCGCGTTGTGACACCTGGGATTTTTGCCGTCCAGAATTGGAGTGCAGGTTCCTGCCTTGACCTGCACGAAGAAGAACCGAATTTAACCTGCTTTGCGTGCACGACGTCCAGGTATCAGTGCCAGATGTTTGCCATTCGCATGATCGCTGGTTTTGTTCGACCGCGGGGGCTGCATGGTGTTTCAGTGGTGATGTGGTTCGACATAACGAAACTGACGTGACTCGGGGTGGTGTTTGAACCAGGTTCTAGAAGGAGTACGATCTTAGCGTAGCCACGTAGGATTGTTCCCGATCCCGTCGATCGAATCGCCACCGTTGGTTCTACTGGGCCAGAAGTGGCGGACAGTAGGCTCAGTGATTCTCCGCCTCCAGTAGGCCCAGCCACCATCAATCCCCACGTCGAATTAAAATGGAATAAGTTCATCGAGCATCCCTCAACTTTGCATCTGAGTATGTATGACATGCCTAATCCCCAATACCATAAATCTCCACCCCTAAACTATATAAAACCATACAAATGAGATCCTATAGGAATATAGATATCTGGTTTTACTGACGTGGCATACTAGTCAGCAAAATAAAAAAAATATGGGATCCACATGTAAGTGAGTAATGTGGGGTTCGCATATCTTTCTTCTCTCTTCTCTTCTCCGATTGGATCCCGCCGCCGACCGGTCCGAACCCCAACCGCCTGCCTAGCACCGTCTCCTCCAGTGGGCCTCCCCCTGGATCCTGGGGCATCCCCATCCGCCATTGCTACCGTCAGGGGGATGAGGCCCACGCCGCCCGACGACCTCAAGGCCCGACGCACCGTCCGCCACCGGTCGCCCCCACAACGTCAGCCACCTTCAGCTCCTCTCTGACTGTCATCGACGTCCGCCGGTGCCATCCTTTGCTCTACACCATCGTCCATCGGCACCATCCCGCCACCAGGGGTCTCAACTTCGCCGACACGGCGCCCCACCACCGGGCTCATCCGCTGCGCTCCTCCCTAGGCCACCAGTGCACTCTTCCCCAGCCCCGCCTCCACTAGTCCACTGGCGTCCGCTGTCAAGGCTGCTACCTGCGTCGATCCAGACTCAGATCCGAGTCGACGTCGCCGTGAACCTGGGAGGGAGAGGCGGCTGGCCGTACTGGTGGGAGAGGAGAAAAAGGAGGCCGGCGAGCCTGGGCTTTAGCACATGTGCGTCGTCGGGTGTGGCGGCAGCGGTGAACATGGGCGGCCGCCTCTCCCTTGGTGCCAAGCTCGGCGGACGAGGTAGTAGGCCGTGAACAGGGAGGCCTTGGTGGCTTTGCGAGGAGATGAGGCTCTGACGAGGCCGACGAGCGCACCGCACATGCTGTGGGATTTCAGGATGGCCTCTAGGGCATGGCAGTCGCCGGAGGAGGCAAGCTCGTGGAGCACGACGGCGGCGCTCACGCGCGAAGCCAGGATCTCCACGAGCGCACCGGAGATGATGTTGGCCTACACAGGCTTGAGGCGGCGATGGGGCCTCTCGAGGCGGGCTCGCTGGACGCCTCCCCCTCTCTCGCTCGCCGGCCGCCTCTCCCCCGCCGCCCCTGTCCTCCCAGCTCATTGAAAATGAGAAGAGAAGAGAAGAAAATAGAAGAAAGAAGATATGTAGACCCCACGTTACTCGCTTACATGTGAGTCCCATAATCTAGAAGATATGTTGACTAGAATGCCACGTCAGTAAAATTAGACATCTATACTGTTATAGGATCTTATTTTTATATGATTTTATATAGTTTAGGGATATAGATTTCTAATATTAGAGATTAGGGATATCATACAGACTCGATGTATGTAAAGTGGATTAACGGTTGGTGAACTTATTCCAATTAAAATCATGGACCGGCCGCCAAGTTCGTTGCGGCCGCGAGGACCTAGGAGTCGCATCCGGCTGCTTCGAGGCCGCAAGGAACGACCAGTGCGTCACTCCCCGACGCCGCGGGCGTGGGCGTGTAACGCCGCGGGTCGTTGGTTGCACAGCCTGGACCGACGGAGAGGTGACTAGGTGAATTGTGACGTCAGTTTCGTTATGTCGATGAAACCAAGCAAAGCATTTGCAACTGGATCAAACTTCAGAGTCTACAGAAAATGGTACACGTTCTTTACGTAAAGGCTCATCTGATCCGACCACAGGTACTGGACAATTTTGTAAAGATCATATGATTTTTGGATAAAGTTCAAGTGGGGATGTAGCTCAAATGGTAGAGCGCTCGCTTTGCATGCGAGAGGCACGGGGTTCGATCCCCCGCATCTCCAATTCAGTTTTTCTTTTTCCCTTTCGCATCTGTTTTTATCTCTTATTATCTGTGCTTTCCCGTTTTAATATGCCATGAACAGTTGATGGCTGTACTTTCACTACTTTCCCGTTTCAATAAGGGCATGTACAAAGGTAGAGTCAAATAGAAGCTCTATATCATGTAGACACTAGTATCCTACAATAGTTAGAGATAATATGGTCTCTAATCATTAATGTATCTAAATATTTTTTCTTACTCTTCTTTCCTTTCTTTCACCACCATGCAACAAAATTTGTTCTAATAAATGCTAAGAGTCGACTCTGAGCTGTTGTCATGCATAACAACCATACTCCTTTATCTTTCTTTTATATCATCAAATTTACTTATATGGTAATAGAGAGACCACTAATAAAGATTGTTGTACCTGTGCTAAGGCATGAATAGTTTGAGCCTGAATTAGGGATTGCCGCGTTCCAACAGGCAGAAATCTTCGTCAAACATTGTGACCCGGATCACGTGGATCACATCGCTCGCCCCTGAAAAATACTGTTATCGTCATCGACGCCCTGCGTGCACGGTGCACCCGCTCTAATCGCTAATCCTCGCGGTCCATCTGTACTGTACGCTTATCTTGTCATAACACTGACATCTCTCTCACGAATCGCCTAAACTAATGATCAATCAGTTATCACACAATGTCACCATGTGAATGTGCAGTACAACACGTACGTCCCTCTTCATTCCTTGACTTCTTCTCGTAAGTTAAGATATGCCGCTTCTTTGCGTTCACAAGGACAAGGTGACTATGCTTGCACGACTTTCCATGCCACGGCAACAAGGATCAAACAGTAGTCAGCAAAAATACGGGTCTATAAATACACGACGTCTCTCCGCTGGCTTACACACAACAACATATCGCAAGATCGATGGCGACGACGAATTGCCTCCTCGCGCTCGCAATCGCGGGCCTCGTGCTTGTCTCCCTCCCAGGACTCTCGCGCGGCGACGTCGACGCTCGCCGCGGCCGCGAGCTGGCGGGCGGGTGCAACCCGAGCGGCACGCTCCGCCCGAGCAGGAGCCACTCGTGCCAGGACTGCTGCAAGGCCGGCCGGTCCTACCCGACGTACGCTTGCTCCCCGGCGACCACCGGGAGCACCAAGGCGGTGATGACGCTGAACGACTTCGAAGCCGGCGGCGACGGCGGCGACCCGTCGGAGTGCGACGGCAAGTTCCACAAGAACACGGAGCGCGTGGTGGCGCTGTCCACGGGGTGGTACGCCAACGGCAGGCGCTGCAACAAGAACATCCGGATCAACGCCAACGGCAGGTCCGTGCTCGCCAAGGTCGTCGACGAGTGCGACTCCCTGCACGGCTGCGACAAGGAGCACGCCTACCAGCCGCCGTGCCGCCCCAACGTCGTCGACGCGTCGCAGGCCGTGTGGGACGCGCTCCGCATCACCGGCGAAGACGTCGGCGAGTACGATATCACTTGGTCGGACGCATGAGATCGACCGGTCCGTGATACTGTTCCAAATCCAAACTTTTTCATCATATCATCGACGAAGAGATCGTGTAGCGTACTCGGGTGGATTAAAGTCTTAATAACGAGTACGGTCACATCCGAAAGGAATAAATATTACAACGTTTAATAAAGGACATGGGCATTGCTACAAAAAGAGCCCTACCATGGACTTCCGAGAAGCACCACCGTGCACTAGGGTGTCCACACATTTCAGCCTTAAGATTACTGGATTATTTTTTTTTTACCTTTGAGGTCTTTTTTAAAAATTTATTTACAAGCAAACTCTTGAAAAAACATATTCCATGAATGAAACATTTTCATGATGCCAGCGTCATTGGTGTCATAGTCCAACCTAACAGTGCTAATGATGTTGGCGTTATCCCCCTCGCACCCCTGCAGACCGCACAAGACCAGAAGCTAAGTCACTAACATGAAGGAGGTCGGCACCAATGTCAATGGCGCTAAGGGCCTATCTGTAAAAAAAATTACATTGGCGGTAAGAACCTATAAGTAAAAAAATTAAAAATGATCTAATTTTAATTAAAAATATCTACAAATATATCCTCAATACCAATGACACTAACACTAAGGGTGTGTTTGGTTGGGCTTTTCAACAAACTTTTGCTTTTGCAAAAGCCAAAAATCAACCAAAGGGTCCAAAAGTCACTGCTGCTTTTACCCAAAGCCAGCTTTTGGTGTAGTACAAATCAAAAGCAGCCCTCCCCTTGCTTTCAGCTGCTTTTGAGAGAAAAAATTACCCACCTTTGCCATTACACAAAAACGATTCGCTTGTTTTTTTTTCTTTCTCCCATCGGCATAGCTCCTCCTCCTCCTCACTTCGCCGTCGCCGTCACTCCTCCTCGCCCTGCCGCCGCCGCTCCTCCTCGACGAGACGTCGCCGCCGCCGCCGCCGCTACTCTCGTCCTGCGCTGGCCCAGATCCGCCGACGAGGAGGTGTAGGAGGAGGAGGAAGAGGAGTACGAAGGGGAGGAGGAAATGAAGGACGAGGTGCCGGTGTCCCCGCCGCCGCCTGAGGCCGACTACACCACCGCCCGTGTCAACCTCCCCTCTGCCGCCGCCGAGGACTTCTCCGCCACCGCTGATGTGACCATCAAGCATATGCATGCATCCAAGCATGAGAAATATAAAACATGACCAAAGAATTCATCGAGTGAATGGAGGATCTACAAGATATCAAAATTCAATGAGTTTTGGAATCCAGTTCGGCCTTCGGAGACAGCACTGACTTCAAACGGACCTAGCGCCTTCATGCCAACTCCGATTTGGGTGATCTTAGACTTCGTGGAAAGCTTATCTCGTTACCTTTCAAACGCATCCGGTCTCATGTCCAAATTCATCTTGAGTCAACGGGAATCGCCAAAACAAGACAGTGTTATTACCGAAACCGAACTTGGGCCTTGGGCCTTGTAATAGACTAGGCCCATCTCGGAAGTGTCTCCCTCCACCTCCACGAATTAGCACTTAACCCTAGCTTTATTTTCCTCTATAAATAGCTTTGTACATCCTCAAAAACATTTGGGTTTTGTTTAGTTGAATTTTACCAAGTGCCATTCACCTTGTCTCTAGTCCTCGTTCGATTAGTCGGCGACTATTGATTCAGAGCCCCCAATAGTTGGTGTGTTGATTTGCCGGGTCGATTAGATCTACCACTTCAATCGCAACTATTTCTTTGTGCTAATTACCTATTCGCAATATTTAGATTGCATCTTATCTTGTTCTTGCAATGTTCTCTCGTTTGCATTGCAGGGATCATCACCCGCGCGTCATGGTTGGTACGACATCGTTTGTGGTGTAGCGATTGCATGGCGTCCTGGACTTGTTCTGGTTGGTAGCCACGTCGTAAACGTCGCACTCAATCAAAGCGAGAGTTATCCCCTCACCAGAAGATCGGGCCACAAGAGAGAGCGTCATCAGTTGGTATCAGATGGTATCAGAGTATCGGTTGCCTGGTGAGGATTTTAGTTTTATATATTTATTTTCCCTACCCATTATCTACAAATTGCCACACCACTTTTTCCTTCACCAAACATTAGTTTTGAGCCTTGCAATTGTTATTCAATTTTGCTTTATTGAGTTTTGGTCCACTGTTGTGTCAAGTGCTGGTTTTAGTTCTAGTTTCGTCTTGGTTTGAGTTTTGCATCTTGGTTGTGCATTGCCTGTGCGTTCGAGCAGTGGCGGAACCAGGATCTTCGGACGACTAGGGCCCAAATTAAAGGCTAAAACTTGCCATGACAAATGTGCAACAACCACATTTGGTTCTAGCACAATACGATCTTGCTTATTGTTACTAGCCATGGTTTCTGCTGAATTAGGCATTGGGATGGAGTCATTGGTTTCTTCCGTTTCCTGAGTTGCCGGAGTGGATTCATTTGAGGACTGGACTTGATAGAATGATTTTATTGTCCTACTTCTCTTCATCTATGAATTCAAACCAAATCTAATTGAGTAATGTGATGTACTAAAGCAGTAAAGCTATAGGTTTGAGATTTCAGATTCGAGAACTGAGAAAGGAAGAAGAAAGAGAACAAAAAAAAAACCACTGACCTTCCACTCCCGCACGACCGCAAGCCACCGCCGCACGCCGTTCGCCGCCACCACACGCCCGCACGCCGCCGCCACCACAAGCCCGCACGTCGCCACCCTCCGTTCGCCGCCGCCACCACAAGCCCGCACGCCGCCGCCGCCGCCGCACGACCCGTACGCCTGCAGCCTGCAGGCCGCCACCTCGCGCAGCCACGCCGCACGCCGCCGCCACACGGCCCGCACGCTGCAGCCTGCAGGCCGCCGCCTCGCGCAGCCGCGCCCCCGCCGCCGCACGTCGCCTCGCGCCTCCCCGCCATCCGCCGCCCTATCGAGCGTCGCCGCGCCTCCTGTAGGGAGAGATCGAAGAGAGACCAAGAGACGGAGAGAGGCAAAGAGAGAGAGAGCATGATTCGGATTCAGTCGGCACTCGGCACTGCAGGCTAGGGTTTTCACTGGTTAGTGGGCTAATGGGCTTCGGCGTTTGCTATTTCGTGGGCTGTTCGGTGGAGAAGGCGTTTTTTTTGGAAGGCCGAGTGTAGGGCCGGCCTGCATACGAGTGGGGCTGGGCCAAGAATATATGAAAAAATCGGAAAAATCACAAGGTATAGGTATTAATTTTTTTTTTCACGAGTAGGGCCCGGGCCCAAGTTGCCCTAGGCCCAGCTCCGCCCCTGCGTTCGAGCTCGGTTGAAGGAGAAGAAAACATTAGATCTGATCATTTTTTATCATCCTGTGTTAGTGCATGCATGCCGTGGAATTCTGGTACGTTACCAAGTAAAAAACACGTCAAATCAGGAACCTAATCTTGGTTATCTCGTAGTTAGTTCTTATGTCTCTATCCGAAGTGCATGTGCCAAAAAATAGCAATTCCCAGTATTTCTTTCTTTTGAGCTGCCACGCACAAATAGAAAGTATATAAATTATCATTCCCATATTCCTTGTTCCACAAAAATAGGAGGTATCCATCCTTTTCTCCTCTGACCGAGGCATGCATGCAACACAATCGTGTATATGTGCTTGAGTTAATTACTTTAAAAAAAAGAAGAAGAAGAAGAAAAGAAATAGAGAAAGGGCAGAAGGTGCAAAAAAAAAAAGAGTGCCGCACAAAAAAAATCAGAAAAAAGAAAAAAATGCAGGAAAAGAAAGTGTGGAATTTTTTTTCGAATCTTGGAGAGAGTTGCTTGATATAGCGAGTTGTGTTTTGTCCAAGTATGATCATTTGCTTGCTTAAGCTAGGATTGAGTCTAGGCTACGCCAGCAATTTTGACTAGTACTTTGGACTATTATTCAATTTCGCAAATCTGTTTGATTTTTGCTATTCCTTGTGATATAGTTAAGCCTACCAAGATACACATACTACTAACCTTTACAGGTCCGGCTTTACAATCGCTCCACTCATCAAGCGTGTCATTGTGCCACGAACCAGCCACGGTGATTGACTTGCTTTGCATTCTTTGAGAACATTATAAGAATTTGGTATATGCTTGAGTGTTGAGTGACTTGCAACCCCACAAGCAAAATTTGTTGTTAATAAGAAGTTACATGCATCTGTTTATTTTCCTTGTTTGCTACTGACAATGACAGGTGTGTATAAAGAGAACAGGATTGAGCATATAAAACATTGGCTTTCACATCAAGAACAGGTACATGATGAGGTTTATGAAAATAAGATATTGTTGCCTTCATTTGTTGGTAAGTTTAATCCTAGGGACTATATTGATTGGGAGTTAGAAGTGGAAGATGAACTTGAATATTATGAATTGTCTGAGGAACAAAAAGTTAAGGCAGCAATAAGTTCTTTTACTTCTTTTGCATCTCTTTGGTGGAGTGATATTTGTCTTGTCGGTAATAAACCTTATTCTTGGAATGACTTAAAAACAATGATGAGAGCTAGATTTGTACTTGATTATTATATTCGTGATTTACAAAAGAAAATGCAAAATTTGAAACAAGGGAATAGAACCGTGAGAGAGTACCACCGGGAGTTTAAAATTTGTATGTTGTACGGTGTTATAGAGTAGTCTAGAGGAGATACAATTAAAAGATTTTTACATGGGCTTAATTTAAAAATTCAGCATAGGCTTGAGAATAAAACACATAGCCATCTTTTTCAATTACTTTTGCATGCTTGCGATATTGAAAGTCAGATTGAGAAAGAAACAAAAATGCCTATGATACATGAGAATTTTCTTGCTCCTTCTATTTTATCTAATATCATGCAGGAAGGTAAAAACAATTTTGAAGAGAAGAACAATGAAGCACCTAAATTATGTCAAGAGAGCGTTTCAGGTAATTTAAGTGATGGTCAACTGGACCAAGGTAAGAAAGATTGTGCTATGCTACAATTGTCCACTAATTATGCTATATTAGAGCAACCTCTAGTGGAACAGATTTCTAATTTGCTTTTATCACAAGCTAAAAATTCAGATTGTGTTGATATTGATAATGCTTGTAATGAAGAAGAGTTGCGCACTGCTTCACTTATACACATGCCACAACTAGTGAAAAAACACGTTACTTATATTTTTGAATATTTGGTTACCACTCAAAATAAACGTGTCTTTGTTATTGCTGATGACCAAGAAGAGCTGAAATTATTGTCTTCTTTATGTACTTTGGGTTATATCGAATTTGATGTTCTTTGTGATCTAAATGCCTTAGAGAAGAAAATTTATGATTTTCCATGTTATTCTTGGAACAATTATCATGTCATTGGTAAATATAATAATAGAGGATGTTATATGGTGCATCGTGTTTATATATGTTTAGATATGAATCCTCCTTTAAATATGGAAAAATATGAGAACCAAATGGATCGTACAACGTTGATGCTATTGGGATAAATTTACCTAACCTTGTTTTGAAGATCGATGACAATATTCAAGAAGGGGAGTGCTATGCACCATTAGATTCTATAGTCAAGTCTCACTATCATTTTAAGACATATTCATTCAGTAAGTTGAGTTGGTTTCCTCACTACCGCTCCTCGCCGCCGCTCGAGGCCGAATCCACCGCTGCCGAGGCCGACTCCGCTGCCCAACCTGAGCCAGCGCCGCCAGACGCTGCCTGTTGCCGCCCCTTCGTTCGCCGGCCGTGGAGGTGGGAGACGAAGGTGGTGAGGTGGCCGACGGCGGCGGCGTCACCGCCGCGCGTCCTCCTCCTCGCCGAACCGCAGCCGCTGCCGCCGAGGACTCCTCCGCCGCTGCGCGCACTGCCGCTCCCCGCCGCCGCTCGAGGCCGACTCCGCCACCCAACCCAACGGCGCCGCTCTTGCCCATCCCCGACCGGCGCCGCCAGACACCGCCCGCCGCCACCCCTTCGTTCGCCGGCCGTGGAGGCGGGAGACGAAGGTGGTGAGGTGGTTGACAGCGGCGGCGTCACCGCCGCGTGTCCTCCTCCTCGCCGAACCGCCGTTGTCGCCGCTCCTCCTCGCCAAACCGCCGCCGCTCCTCCTCACCGAGCCGCTGCCGCCGCCGAGGCCGACGACGCCGCCGTTGCCATCTCCATCCCCTTATTTTCTATGTATGACATGCGGGGCCCACTTGTCAGCGGGACTAGTTATTTTAAAAGCCACAGGTGTTAAAGCAAACTAGCTTTTTCAAAAGCCACAGTCCATATTCCATAACTACTTTTCAAAAAGCTACAGCCAACAGCTACTTTTTCAAAAGCCACAGCTCAACCAAACACACCCTAAGTACCTGCCTATAAATATTTTTATTACAAATATGTCATTTTTCAAAAAAATATAAATATATTCCTTCATATTAGTTACTTGGCTTCCGCGGGTAGGGAATGACACCATTATGCTGGACCACGGCATCGATGACATTGACGTCATAAAAAGATTCATTTCTAAATAAGTTTTTTCTAGGAGTTTATTTTATAAAATAAGTTTTGTAAGGGACCAAAAGGTAAATAAATCCAGCTTATGATATCTTGCTCGAGCTGTTGGGCCTAAGGCCTTCTCAAACCAGCCGTTTGTTCATTTGGATCGTCACTAATGCAATCTTTTCACATCAGACTAGCTAACTTTATGGTTATTGTTGTTACACTTTGAAAAAGATTTGGCACTTTTCACGTGAATTTATAGTTGGCTAATCCATAAAGTATAAGCTAACTATAAATTAAATTATGTGAAGGAGAGAGAACGGGATCAAGAATATAAACTTACTATACAAAGTTATTCATACGTATTAAAAAACCACAAAATAAATGGGAAAGAAAAAAACCCGAAAAGAAACGGGGAAAGAAAAAAAGAAATAAGGGAAAAGTGCACCGTCCAGCCCCCCTTTCCACGCATGCCACGTGTCCAGTCGCGCATGCGGGTGTGTGCAGGCCGGGGGGTGGGGGGGAGTATAGATGGCCAAATGGACCGCCCGGCCTGGCATGTTCGGGCGTGGGCCGAAGCTAGTCAGACTAACACGGCCCGACCAACACGCCGGGCTAGGCTGTGCCCCCAGCCCAGACACGGCCCAACAAGACTCGGGTTGTGCCGGGCCTGCACGAAGGCACGATAGCCCATTGTGCTTCTCTATTAAATAAGTCTATTTTTATTCCCTCTATCTTTGGGATGTGTCTTATATGACTGGAATAAGTCTATTTTGTATACCTCCAGTCTTTGGGTTGTACCTCAAATGGCCGAATCAAGTCTTTGATGGATCCCTCAACTTTTTTTTCTTTGGTTGTGCAGGCTCACCGTGCCGAGGGAGTAGCCTAAGGCACGACCGTGATTGGGGCGGGCCAAATTGCCGTGCCTTGGGCCGGGTCATCGGGACTCAGGCCATATAGCCATCTATAGGGGAGAGGGAGGGGTAGCGTGTGTTTGAATTGCCTCCTTTGCACTTGCAATCGTAGGCCTCATGTTTGTCTCCCTCCCTAGCCTGTCTCATGTCGTCGATCAACCCTCGCCGCGGGCACGAGCTGTGGCAGCCGACGAGTGCATGCCGATCGCGTGGCACGGAGGAGCTGAAGCCGAATAAGCCAGACCTACCCAACGTACGACTGCTCACCGCCGAGGTCGACCTCTAGGACCAGTGGCGGATCCAGAAATAAATAGCAGTGGGTCTGAGCAAACTAGATAGAGTTACAGTCCCCCCTCCCATCTACATATGGTAAAAAATTTTAGTGAGGTCTTCGTGGGGTCTCTTATAATCTTAGTATAGTAGGGGCTCGAGACCCCGCCGCCTCCATACTGGATCCGCCACTGTCTAGGACCAAGCGAGTGGTGACACTACACGACTTTGACCGCCTAGCGCCACGATGTACATATTGTGGACATGAGAGAGTGCAACAACAGATTCAATCCCGGGGGTTTCGTGGTTGCGCTCTCAGGGGGAGGGAGTATGACCACTGTGGTGCTTCCACAAGTATATCCAAATCTACAACAACGACAACATTGTGGCAGCCTTGGTCATCGATGAGTGCGACTCTCGGAACGGCTGCAACTTAGGGACCGGCTACCTGCTGCCATGCAGCCCCAACACCATCGCCGCGTCCCCAGGCGTCTAGGATGCGCTCGGCCTCCGCGCCACCGGCAACGAGGACCACGCGAGAACAACGTCACTTGGTCGAACGAACACTGACATTATTTGTTCATGAAGCGAACGCCAACGGACAACCAATATGGTTATTTTGCATATAATCCTAAATAAATTAATTAAGCCGAATCTTAAATACTTTTTTATTCTAAAATATAATCTAAGATTGGATAGTACACATCCTATTATTCCGTAATATAATACTAAGAGATACGATGGGCTTTGCTGAAAGGAGCACTCCTTACCTTTGAGAAGACACTTGCTGGACTCCTTGGGCTCCTCCAGTCGGCCCATTTTCATGATGTCGGACCATTTTCATGATCGCTTTGGTTGTGTTTGAGCTGAATCTGCTGCTCCATGCATGTTCACGAGTGTCCACTGTCCAGAACTGGTATCGTGCATGAGCGTGACAGATCGTCGCCGTTGCACCCCAACAAGATTCGTGAATCATTGCGAACGATAGGCCAATTCAATTGGGCCCGTTTCGGATGGCAGCCTTCATGCCGTCAGGGCATGGCCGAACAAGCAACGTTGCTTTCGCGGTTGACGATGGCAGCGTGCGAGATGCGATGCGAGCAACGTACGTAGGATCACGCCTCATATTCTTACATTACATGGAGATCACCTGTCAGCCTCTCAGTGGCATGGCTGCAATTACTGCCGGGATTTGCTTTCTGCCCGACAAAAACGAGTTCTGCAAAGTTCGAGCCTTTCGGTAAGGAATGGAAAATTTTCTAGGAGGACTCCATTTAGGAATTCTTTACAAAAATATTTAGTCCTAGGAAAAAGGGCATAGAATTAGAGTTGACCTAGCAGTAATGTTTCAGTCCGAGCAGAGTACCGTCAACTTTCTCAGCTGATCAGCTCGATCGTAGCCCTGCCAAGAACGATTGGACTATACTACAGCCGTTGCACATCGGCATTCATGATTTTTGACGTCAGGAAGGTCAGAGCTTACGGAGAGGAATGGATTGATGGGAAGGCAGATTCCTTCGCTTTCTCTGCAGTAACAACCCGGTGGGTTGTGGGTTCATGTCCTCTTCCTGTCTTGCCTTTCGCCCAAAGTGATTTGTGACTTCAGTCGCCGCCCCTATCAACTCCCCTGTGGAAAGGGCCTTCATGCTTTAGCTCGGTTTCAGAATTCAGACCAACTCCGCTTCAACTTTCTTCCAAGCCCGGTAACCGCATTACCATCTTTTCTTCGAGCGCGGTTGGTGTGTTTCCTTCATGATTGAACGATAGGTGTATTTTTTGAAGAATTGAAGTTCTCTCGAACGCAGTAGAAAGAAAAGAAAAAAATGATACCACTGGAGTAGGATTGCAGAGAAAACAGATATACTGACTTCAAAACTTCCATCCCAGCATAAACCAGTGCCTGAAAAAATTACAGTTTCTCGAATTCTTGCAGTGCATCAAGCCAACTAGGTCGACTGTAGCTGGTCGGCATACTCTTTTGTCGGTTTTCTTTTCATCGTGGTATGGAGTAAAAGAGGATGGGAATATTAGAGCAGTTACAATAGCAGGCTATAAGCCAGCTGTAAATATATTTTAAGAAGATAAATAAGGAAAGAGAAGAGCAGCGGGCTACAGATTTATAGTCAGTTGTAGTACGGACTCTAAGACGCAGTGTGTGTATGACAGGTGGGACCAAATATTAATAGTGTACTCCCTCCGTCAAAAAAAGGCAAACGCTGGGTTTCCGTGTCCAACTTTGACTGTCCGTCTTATATGAAATTTTTTTATAATTCGTATTTTTATTGTTGTTAGATGATAAAACATAATTAATATTTTATGCATGACTTGTCTTTTTAATTTTTTTCATAATTTTTTCAAATAAGACGGACGTTCAAACGTTGGACACGGAAATCAGGGTTTGTCTTTTTTTGAGACGGAGGGAGTAGTATATAACTATTGTATGAATAAGCTATTAGATTGGCTATAGATGAATTGGAGCTGGTAGTTGGCTTATACTGTTAAACTTGCTCTTATGTCTCGTAAGCTTTCGATTCAGTACTAACCACTTCACACTAATTCACTAATTTCGCTGCGCATACACTCGACTCGAGTTGCACTTATGACAGGCATCGGCACTCTTTGCCACTCAACGCTGAACGCCAACGAGAGGAAGAACATGAAAGCAAGCACCAAAACGGCAAAGAAGCACTCTTTCCCCCTTGCAAATCGTGGTGTTAGAAATAATAGTACAGAATCTGCCTTCCCATTCACCAAAAATAGTAGTACTAGCTCCTAGTTAAACCAAGAAGAGCAGAGTACGCGGCCACACTAACCACCCAAACACACCGCCAGCTTCCGTTAATTACACGGGCCTCTAAGCAGAAACGCACTAACACGCAGACAAACACACACACCACCTGCATACTGCGCGGCTAAACGCCGGCCATGTCGCGTCGGACTCATACTAGGACGAAGTCCGCGGCGGCGCGGCCGTCGTCGAAGTTGAGGGCGTAGCTGAGCGCGTCGTAGTGGAAGCTGAACCGGGCGTGGTCACGCCTGCCGCCGCGCCACCTCCCGCGCTCCGACTGCATCCGCCGGATCCCGGCTCGGAGCCTCCAGTAGATTCCCCGGAGCAGCCTGCCGCTGCCCCGCCCGCGCGCCACCGCGACCACCCCCGCCTCCACCGCCGCCACCACGGCCGCCATTTTTGTTAGTTATCCCGTCGCCCGCTGCACACGGCTCGCGGAGGGAGAGGGGCTCGATCGCTGTGGCTGCGGGCTGTGGCGGCAGTGTGAAGTGGTAGGTTTGGGCAGGCAGAGTGGGCAGAGGATATGGTGGCCGGGCGGAGCTTGGGAAAGCGTATATAAAAAAACGATGCCTCCTTTACCTTTTTTCAACGCTTTTTCAACGCCTGTGTCTCGCTCGGTTAATGCCGTGGGACAGGAAATGGTGTACTCGTCGTCGTAGTAGTAGTCTCGTAGTAGTACAGTCGTACTAAGCGCTGAACTTCGCTGCCCTAGTGCGAGCTGGCGTTGCACTGTGCGACTAAAAGAAACAGGAATGTTCTAAAATCTACTCCTACTCCCCTGGGATAATACAGTACACTGAACAAACTAAACTAGGGTGTGATCGTTCAGAGTCAAAATTCCGATACAAATTAAGACAAAAATCAAACTTTAAAAATTGATTTTATTTTAAGACAGAATGAGCACTCCGTGTACTACTCCTCACGTCAGTGGAGTACGCCTACGACTACTAGAGTCCGAGAACAAACATCGATCTCGTGAGGTGGTAGTACTTTTGTTGGCGAGTGTAGGCTGCTTCAGCTGCGGTTGTAGCTGGACTGAGCGCAGGAACATGCAGCGGGACCGGGCGTTGGATTCGGGACAACGGGGGATGGACTGTGGCTGCGTGTCACGTGGGTGCGCTGCGACGGTGTAGTGGCGGGTGTGGATTGGCGAGAATTTCTTGGGCTCCCGAGCCGAGAGAGAGCTGCGGCTTGGATTCCTGGGCTATTTTTACGTCGTCCTCAGCAATAGTGGCATCCTGCATTCCTGCCATAGAAGTTGTACTGGTGTTTAGATCGAATGGTGTAAGATTTTAGTGTGTTATATCAGATATTATATAGGGTGTCGTATAGGGTGTTTAAGCACTAATAAATAAAATAATTATAAAATACGTTAGTAAACCATGAGACGAATTTATCAAGCCTAATTAACCCGTTATTAGTAAATGTTTACTGTAGCACCACATTGTCAAATCATGGAGCAATTAGGCTTAACAGATTCATCTCGCTACTTAAGATTAAGATCTTTATGTGGTACTTACTTAAAGGGGTGGTGCTAACTAAGGACAATTTGGCAAGACGGAACTGGAATGGCAGTTTAAGATGTTGTTTCTGTATAAAAAATGAGACCATTCAACATCTTTTTCTTGACTGTCATTATGCAAAATTTGTTTGGAGAATAGTACAGTTTTCTTTTGGTTTAAACCTCCCTATTACCATATCTAAGATATGTTTGATGGTTGGTTTTTGGGGTTGACAAGAAAATGAGTAAACTCATACTTGTTGGAGCATGAGTAGAAATGATATAGTTTTTGACAAATCACCATCTATCTCATATATGCAGGTAATATTGAAGGCAACATATTGGCTCCGATTTTAGGTAAAGCTGCAAAAGCGTGAAGATGATGGAGAGTTTACGAATGTTGCATGCCGTAAACTGGAGACGACGGTTATGCAAATATTTGCGAACCATGGATGGAGATTCACAAATAGACTTGAATAAATGTGTGCTCATTTTCTTAGTTTGGTTTTTTTATTGTTGGGTGTGTTTAATTTTATTTGAACTTCATTCGTTGTTTGTATGATTCCTTGTAATAACTGGCTGTAGCTCTAATGAGTAAAGGCCGGAATATTTATTCCATTATCTAAAAAAACAAATTCGTCTCGCAAACTAGTCGCAATATGTGTAATTAATTAATTTTTAAGCTTATCTTTAATACTTCATACATATGTTCAAATGTTCAATGTGACGAGGTGAAAAATTTTAGGATGAGATTTAAACATGGCCTAAATAAAGACACTCACTCCGTAAAAAAAATAACCTAAAAATATAACCTTTCTAGTTAGGTTGAGTAGGCCACACTAGCTCTAGTAGTGTCCCAGTGGAGGAGTACTGCCACAGTTCTTCCCCTTAATTGCCTAGGACTGGCAGAGCCGGGGACAGCTTACGATTGAAGAACCGGGGGCGCAGTGAAATCGAATTGCATTTGCATGTGCACTTTTGTGTGACGGTGTAGTGTAGTACTCCGTATTGATTAGCAGAGCAGATTGGGAAGTTGATGACGCTCGAGGCGCAGATCACGGTCGCCCGCTCACAGTAAGTACTACTGCTGCTTGAATTCTCTGTTCTCTCCACAGCCACTGGTTGAGATCGCCCGAATCGTACCAAATTTGGTTTTAGCAAGATTAAGGGGATGTTTATATTGATGTCATTTTTTACCGCATCATTTTTTTAAAGTTGTTAAAAAAATATCTACGTTTAGTTTGTTGCTAAATTTGGTAAATACATAAGAAATCCCGTTAAAATTTTAGCAATATTATCAAATTATCAAAATTTTAGCATTACCAAATTTTAGTAAGCTTTATTTTGGCTATAATCTAAACAAGCCCTAAAGAATTGAACCGGCCGTACGGCGTTGCTGCCAGATTATTGTGAGAAGATACTCAAATTAGTGGTAGTGTTGTCTGTTTGCATAGAGTTTTGCTACAGAATGGTGGAGTATTACTTACTGCTGGTAATTTGGACGTATGCCTGCATGCCCAATTAACCCCAGTGCGGCTTTTGTGTTTCTGGGGAGCTACTGTGTTGCATTCACCAATCAGATTGAGGTGTTCATATGTCTTGATCACAGGAAGAGCAACTTAGCAGGTTCCGTGATTTCTGTCACTAAAATAGCCGAGTACGAAATTATTAAACGGAAGCTACCACTAATAGCAGAAGATATACTGATTGTACGACGAACCTGAGCAACAATGTTGCAACCTGTTAGTATCACATAATTCAGGTAAAGATAAGCATAACAGGCAGCCAGCCCAGTCCCAAGTCCCAACACAGAAAAGCGAAAGTGTAGCTCGCTCGCTCCTTCTCTTCTCTCGGATTTAATTCGGCGACAGTTGAAATCAAATAAAGTGAGCACTGTTATTCTGACTTCGAATTGAGGCAAGAATGTTCCTGGCTTCCTGCCTTGACAAGGAGGTGCAAAGAAAGATGATTCCACAACCAAACTCTGGTGACCTTTTTTTTTGTAGTACCAACTAAATATTTGGTTTTCAGGCCATGCCATTCCACGCTCCAAAAGTTCTTAGCTTTCTCTGTCTGATTTTAGCCCGTCTTTTAACATCGGATCGTTTGGAAAAAAGCACGGATCAATTGAGATGCTTTTGGAGAACACATGATAAACGATCTTATCCCTGGCGGCCTTAGTACTCGAACCTTTTTTATGGTGGAAGGATCATGTTCCTGTCCCTCGCTAATGGATAAACGAGTGGCTTGGAAGGGCCAAGAACAAATATATATGCTGCTGCCCGTGCAACTTGAAACAGTCATACTTCTAGGTTGGTAAGCAGGGCAAGATATGGATAGACACGGCATAAGCATAACATTAACTAGTAGTAGATGAATACGTAACTTACTATCAAAATCTATTATTATTATATTATTAAAGGAATAGAAAAAAGAGCCTCCACATTTGCTCTTATGGTCTAGAAATTCCCACATTAATCGGAGAAAAAAAAAACAGAGTTCATATAGAAATACAATTTAGAAATAGCTTAAATTCGGAATTAAAAAATAAGTAATATTAGAAGAGGATACTAAAGTCCATATAGAAATACAATTTAGAAATAACTTAAATTCAGAATTAAAAAATAAGGAATATTAGAAGAGGATACTAGAGTCCACATAGAAATACAATTAGGAAATAACTGAAATTCGGAATTAAAAATAAGGAATATTAGAAGAGGAGACTAGAGTCCATATAGAAATTCTCATATTAATCGGAGAAAAAAAAAAGCAGAGTTCATATAGAAATACAATTTAGAAATAGCTTAAATTCGGAATTAAAAAATAAGTAATATTAGAAGAGGATACTAGAGTCCATATAGAAATACAATTTAGAAATAACTTAAATTCAGAATTAAAAAATAAGGAATATTAGAAGAGGATACTAGAGTCCACATAGAAATACAATTAGGAAATAACTGAAATTCGGAATTAAAAATAAGGAATATTAGAAGAGGAGACTAGAGTCCATATAGAAATACAATTAGGAAATAAAATAAATTAGGAATATTAGAAGAGGATACTAGAGTCCATATAGAAATACAATTTAGAAATAGCTTAAATTCGGAATTAAAAAATAAGGAATATTAGAAGAGGATACTAGAGTCCACATAGAAATACAATTAGGAAATAACTGAAATTCAGAATTAAAAATAAGGAATATTAGAAGAAGAGACTAGAGTCCATATAGAAATACAATAAGGAAATAATATAAATTTGGAATTAAAAATAAGGAATATTAGAAGTAGAGTATAAAGTCCATATAGAAATTCAGAATTAAAAAATAAGAAATATTACAAGTAGAGTATAAAGTCCATATATGAATTTAAAACTAACTAAAATTCAGAATAAACATAATAAAATTAAAAGTAGGGTTTAGAGTTCGTATAAAAATACAATTTACAAATAACTAAAATTCTAAATTAAGAAAAACATGGGAAGAAGTGTTTAAAGTCAATATAGTAATACAATTTAGAAGTAACTGAAATTTTAAATTTTAAATTTAAAATTAAAGAATATTGAAAGATGAGTTTAAAGTCCACATACAAATACAATTAGAAATAATAAAAAATCAGAATTAAAAAAAATATTAAAATACAATTCTAGAGTCCATATAGGAATATATATAATTTACAAATAACAAAAACTGGATATTAAAAATAATTAATAACTAACACTTATATAAAATACAATATGAATATTACACATTAGTAGTTTCGTAATTTAAAATTATATTGTTATTGTAATATATTTTAATAATATAATGAGAAAACATATATGCTATTATATAAGAGAAAATATAATGATGCTAGCAGCGCAATCTGCGCGGACCACCGTGCTAGTTTAATTTAATTATGAAGATAGTTTAACATAGACTATTAAAAAGGGCGTGGCTCCAGGAATGTCCGCTCATTTTTTACGTCACTTAAAAGTAAAAAAAAATATCATAATATCACTATCTGATACGTTACTTTACATATGCAAATTAAAATTTAACTTACACAAGTAAAAAAAATGATAAAATTGTAAAAAAATAAATAAAATAGAACTCATA